CGGACGTCGAAGACGTAGATTGTGTCATGCACGACCCAGGAAGGGGAGAAGTACCTTAGGGGAATAGACTCAAGGAGTCAAGAAAAGCGCATTCCGAAGTGATTCCAGTGCAAACAGGGTGCACTCTGCCGTGTTCCGGCCCGTATAAACAAAAAGATTTATAGGGCCATGGGATGGTTAGTGGGTTCGACGGATCTATTGGAAATCCAAATTTGACTGTTACAATACAAATACACTTTGTTGCACGCAGTACAAATACATAACCAAAATAAAATAAACAAAAGACAGCTTATTGTTAGATAAATAAATGTACAAATAATATATAATTACTCTTTAATATATATAATGATAATATGTAATAAGTCTTACTTCACTATCTAATATATTATAGGTTTTACATTTAGTTATTGAACTAATAATGAAACGTCTGGTAGTTCTACTACAGCTAAAACCTAAATGGTTTTTATCGTAACATATTTTGTGGTTTCAACTTATGCAAAAAGCAACATATAATAAAGTACTTCTAATTAATTCTAACAAAAACGCAAACCAATAGCAACTTTGATCATAAGTTTTTGGTTCAACACATATCTAATTTTTATTTCATTGTATACTATAATATTGTGTAATATTATTAAAAATATAACAATATATACCCAAAATTGCGTATTTTATTTTACAAGCGTACACAATAATGTAATGTGACAAGGTTATATCTTTCTCTCAGCGTTAATTATCAAATTTCACAATGATTCTTGCGTTCGAAATGTTAAACATTAGCGTTGCAAAACATATTTAATTACACTTAAATTATATCGTTTAAACAAAGTCTAGGATATAACATAAAAATTAAATTTCGAATCATTTAATAAGAAATATTTGCACAATCTTGTAAAAACTATTCTGGGGGCCCCCAGAACTATGAGCTTATAACAAGCCAGCCAAGTTCCATGCAATTCACTTGACGTGGTAAAACTGAATGGTTTAAATTCGTATCATGATCTACACAAAGTTGAATGGGAATGGCATGCCAGGATGATGAGTTTTACTTTTTAAACGTTAATTATTGTGTCTGCCTGGCTAGCTGACATCTAACAAGAGCGATATGGAACTACATACTAAATCATATGAAAGAAATAGACAGATGTACTATCCTGGGAGCGTTCAAGCACTATTAACCGATTGTGTTCAAAATGAGAATAATTATATTTTTTTATTAATTCTATTATTGATTATACTTATTACGTTGCTTTGTAATATCGCAACTTTTCAATCATACTTTACAATTTGTCGTAAGACTTTTGTCTTACATGTGATGTCTAGTCATTATCATTAAAATTAATAAGGTGAGTTTGTAATTTGATAACACAATTGGAACGTATCTTGCATTCGTACATTTTCATTGATTGCATTTAAGTCAAATTTGGCACTATTTTAAAAGTTATTTTATGATTTCCGTTCAATAAAATTATTAAAATTCCATTTAAAAATTCCAATAACATTCATGACAACATTTAATATTATCTTTGTTTACTTTATAGATTCGAATAATTCAAAACACGCTCAAAATAGTTAAAAGTATTTATTTATTGACAATTGGCTATATAGCCAATAAAGATAACAAATAATTATGAAACTGAAAATATAATAAATCAAGTAAAGTAATTTCACAAAAATAAATTAATATTACAGTAGTAAAACATCATAATTCATTACAATCAATATTACAATTTTTTTTCATGACCAAGTGACATTACGAATAGGTCGTGCATCTGGTGTCGCATGTCCTTAACAGTAGCAGTGCCAATCAGAGATTTAAATCGCAAAGATCTGAGGAGTACTGCCCCTGCACTATTCACCCTGAAATACAAGTTGACAAGTCCCATGTGCCTGTAATTTCACCAGCACCCTTACCTTTCAAAACCGGAACGCAGTAATGCTCACATTCCTGCTTGACGACAGAAATAGGAGGATGTACACTTTCACAAGGTGCTCTACTACTACTAAAATAAATAAAAATAAATCATATTTGAAATATCAGTTTAGTACGAAACATTGTCACATTACATGGTATAAATAATTCCATACAATATTTCCCTCGCTTGTTTTGTTAAATGTTTAAAATGGAAACTGCATGTAAATATTGCTAATAAATAATTGACAAAATCCTTATAGAATGTGAAGGCCGCGTAAGTTTTAAAAAATAGCATTGGACTTTGCAGTATACGCAATATGTAAGCAATATTGACTCGACATTGACATTGCGCTAAGTGTAGTTCAAGTTTGAGTGCAAGCCTGGTGAAAGTAAGCTGTGCCGCCATCTACCAACAACTGAAAGAACTATTGTCATTGCGTGATTTACACTGGGAGAAAAGTCTTCAGATAGATCCTGAAATAAGTATTAAATATTGTTTAAGAAAACAATGTAAATATAAAAACTGAGTAAAAATGTTTTTCAATGTAACGTCAGCGATGTTAATGATACATTAAATGATTAGTGTTATTTGATGACAAAGAAAAGGGTAAACAACTTTTTATTTAACAAACGTTCATGAACGGAAAAAACCTATCAAATTATTTTCAACCTGCACAATGCAATGAAGATATATATATAAAGGCTGTCAATATTACACTAATAACGTATACTTTGTCTCTAATCCACGTGGGTATTAGTACATAAAAAACAGGTTTATCCCCTGTAGAAAAATATTACAAGCATATAATCTGTATGTCCGGCGTTTGGGTTTTTACACGTGTAAAAACCCAAGCTTTACAGGTGTTCGGATAGAAAAGTTACAAAACGTCAAATGACGCATAACAAAAACAATTCTGATCCACTAAATACACCAATAAACCTTAATGCTTCTGGTTATGCAATTGGACACAGAACAATAACATTCTAACAAAACTAATAATCACGTATAATATAACTGGTTTTCGGGGCTTTTAAAGACGACGACCCGACAAGATCATGGTCGAAGAACTTTAATTATTTTACGTCATAAAACTAATAAGAATGTGGAGATTGAGTAACAGCTTCGGTCTTTCTAGAATATTTAGCATCATAATCTTCTTTATGTTTAGCTTCGTAGCAATCTTCCAATTATATTAAATTTAAAAACAAATTTAATCACATAAGTAAACGTTTTTTCATACTTGAACTTTGTTTGAGACGGAATAACACGGTAATTGCTTATATTTTAAATAACCTAAGTGAATTAATGATTGTAACACAAAAAACAAAATGTATTGTGTACTTGTTGTTGTCGTTAAAATTGTTAAAATTTGCAAATTAAATGCTCATTCATTGTTTAGTGCTCTATCGTAGTTGCTTCCTATATACTGCAAACACGTAGACTTAAAAAACTACTTGCATATTTAAGTTATAATTTATACTACAATCGGTAAGTAGAGCTACGATAACCCAGTACAACAACGGTTATGTATGAATTGATTTTTTTGAGTGAAAGAATTCGTCCAGGAAAGTACTGTCACCTAACCTATATCTGCCACCAAGCAGTAATGTGATCATTATTACTCTGTACCGAATTTGAAGGGTAAAAGACGCTGACGAAATTACACGCACATGGGACTTGTCAACTGAAGTCAGACAGTACCCCTCAAATCTTTGCAATTTAAAGCTCTGAGTGGCACTGCAACTGCAATACTGTCGTAGGCAGGCGACTCGCTTACCACCAGGCGCACGACTTGTTCGTCCTGTCACTTGGTATCATAAAAAAAAAACTGAGATATCGCCAGTCGCCTAACACTGTTTCAAACACCTTTATTCTAATAATTATACACTTCAAATTACAAGATACCACTTAAATTTTTGCGCAACGTTTAAACAAGGCATCATAAAGCTTTAGTAAAAACACCTAATTGTAGTGATTTGTTCATTTTCCACAAAACTACATCGAGTAAATATCGCGCACACCTGCAAGCACGTTGCTAAATCCCAATCTCTTGTGTATCATGTGTCTTATTACATCTCAACTATCCGCGTTCTGTGTTCAACACCCCGCAAAAAAAACAGTTTTCATTTATCAACTTTATTTTTCCAGATTTTTTTTCTAGATTTATTGTGACCACACAATTGGAATTTTAAATTCATTACGTTTTAGTAAATCATTTTGATAATTAACAAGTCACGATTACTTGTTGTTGTTATTCTGAAAATATGACGCAAACTTAATAATTATATTTACCATGAGAAACTTAAACCTAACGATTTCCTAACTTATAATGTTTGATACTCAATTTAACTATTTGCCCAGGCGTGGTTGAATTAAAGTGTCTTAAGAGCGAATTTAAATAAATGAAGCGATGTGCCAAGTCTACACTGTGATATAGCTGGAAAACACAGTCGGACTTTGAACCGGTCAAGCTGTAGAGAACCTGTTTGGTCACATTGCAAAATTGTCTTTTTGCGTTTGTGTCAGAGCGTAATTTTTCTTTGACGCAATCGAAGTTACGTCCTTGTGGAAGTGGGGGGTGGGAAGGCTTGTGATTGGTCAACTTTGCGCGCGCTATTCAATTGTAATTCGAACATCGACTCCCGCGCACTTTCGCGTAAGCTCACGGTCAGGTTTTCGCTTTCGTTCGTAGACATGAGATGTCGTAGTGTCGTAAAAGTCTCTTGAGAAAATGTTGCATTGTGCCATCCAAAATTTTCGGTGGGTGTACGTTTATAGAATATTTTAAATAATAACTTCTTTAAATTTAATACATTTCAATATTCGGGAAAAACTTGCAAAAAACAAATATCTTAAAATTAAAATATTTTGATAATTCATACTTACGAATAATTGACGAGAAACCTTCCAAAACATGGGTATATATATATGAAATAACATTCTTAAACAAAAAAAATATAAATAATATATATGTAAATTTGTAAAATAAAATATTTTATTACATTTCTAAAATTTTATTTCAATTTATATAGAATTTTGAATTTACTGACAGTTTTAAGAATTTGTTCTTTCTTCTCTCTACAGGTGACAGCTTGCTGCTGGCAAATTGTTACCGGAGCGACAAGTGCGTGACATTGCCGCTGACATTAAAGTGCAGTGCGAGTGTAGTGCCTCTTAGTGTTATAGACTAGACAAAAGACAAAAACAAAAATGTCGGGTTTCGTGAAAATTGCGATAGACGATTACTACAGCGACAGCAACTGGACTACCATAATTAACAAATATTGGATGCTGGCAGAAAGAGTATCAGGTGAGACTAATTTTTAGTAAATTTAAAGTAATTTTGTAAGATTTTGGAAATACATAGTGTAAAAAAATCCTCTAAGAATAGCTTTAATGTAGTTGTTTTTAAATAGAGGCGATGTAGTTCTGACACAGCATTCAACTATTTCTCGTAGTGAGCGTTACGATAATATTTACGGAATTAACAATGCTCTGAGTGTATAGTGAAAAGTACTAGAAACAGTTAAAAGAACAAGTTAAACATGTATTTAAAAATTAATTTTAACAAATCAAAAAAATAAAATATATTTTATTGCACGTGCAATACCGTGCGATATGTAAATAAGCCGTGGTAGCCTAATGGTTTGACTTACCGCCTCTCAAGCAGAGGTTGTGGGTTCGAATCTGCACTCGCCCTTCAGAGCTTAACGGAATTTTTGTGTGAAAATTTTAAATTTACCATGAGGTTTTCGGTGAAGGACAACATCGTGAAGAAACCTGTACGGCGAAAAAGGTTCAACAACAGTCGGAAAACGTGTGAAGTCCCTAACCCGCATGAAGCCAGAGTGGCGGACTATGAACCCTAGACGCTAAACCCTCGCCCGAGAGGAAACCACTGCCCAGTAATGGCACGCATAAATTAAGTTGATGATGATAACACGTGCATTATAATAAAAATAAATATAAATATAAAGTAATGGTAAAGAACTTTTCGATTCTATTTTATACCTTAATGAGCACAGCAAGTACATATACACCTGAACAAGAACAACACAATGAAATACAATTAAAATCTTAAAATATTTATGAACAAAATTACACGCAAGACACAAGAACTTATGTTCTGTAAATAAGGATTTAACTTATTATTAAGTAGTTACTATAAATAAACATTATGTAAATAGAGACTTAATATCTAAGTAATAATGTAAGTGAAAAAAGGTTCGATACAAACATTGTAATCACATTAAGGTACTTTGAAGTCTATTAAATAACGTGAAAGTTTGTTTTGCTCTGATGCTGTCAGAAATTTTAAACCAATCATATTAAAGCAACCATGGCCGATTATGAATATGTATTATTTTGTAATCAAATAGACGTTACGAAATCGACATTTCAATTTTTACTGACTTTGTAAAACTATTTTAGAAAATTAGTAAAACTACAATACAAATTTATGTGGACGGTAACATCTCAACCAGTTTAAATATGTCCTTAAAATAGTATCTTGTCAAAAAGTAGGAGATATATAAGATAGTATATAGTCTTCTCAATAAGAGCAAAGGCCTCTCGATTTCACAGTTCCCTGTGTGACGCAATGTTAGGTCAGTCCTTTATATATACGTCCAAGTCATCCCACCACCTCCTTGGTTTGCCTCGTCATAGTCGACCATTCTACGGCACCCACCAAGTGACATGAGCCCATTTTTGTGGGTGCATGCGACAGACGCGTCCAGCCCAGTCCTATTTCATCTTGGCAGTTCTTTGCCCAACATTGGCCACGCGTATCATCAAGCACAGAATTGTTCCGGATTCTGCAATCCTCGTTACTCGTAATATGTTGCGTTCCATCACTCTTTAGTAAACCTTGATCTTGGACTATTCACTTTTAGTCAAGTTAAAGTATCATTGGTTAATGCTTGTGTCACTTATTTACTTTAATCAAGAAGATAAATGGTGGTTATAGGTGGGGATAATAATAATTTACGACAATAAAACGTTACTTGCTGAATTATTTAAATCACAAGATAGACCATGCGTTTTCCAATAAAACAAGGTAAATTGAATGAATTTAATATTCCTTCATTTATGCTGAAATTAATGATTATTTGTGTTATTTATATCCATTTTCTATCTACACACAGCTTTCATGGACTATAAACAAAAAATACATCGTATTTACCTTGTAGTAGTTAGGCGAGTCAAAACAATAATTAAAATAAATGTATCTAAAATACAGGACGTAAGGTCTTTATTCTACTGAGATATTTTAAACCTTAAATTACGTATCGTGTCTTAACTCAATCAACATAATTTTTATTGTAATCACAACAATTAGACCTTAGGCATTAAAATTACGTTAATATGCATGTTATTTTGGGATTTAAGTCGTTTCTATGACGATACATTTATTTTTTATCGTGATGCCACTTGCACATTTTTTTAAATTTATAAGTACGCATTTGACCTCCATCTTACCTTATGGAAAGTGACGATGAGGTCGACCATGATAGGCACACCTAAATCTCGCCTTGAAAAGGCCCAAGTTGTAGTTTTAAGGTAAATAAGTGTACAGCAGCAGGGAATTCCACTACATAACCGTTTGATATATAAATGTGGAAGCATAAAGCTTCCTGAAAATCATTGAAATAACTATTATATAAGTGTATAATTCCAACCTAAGTCTAGTCTCCCGATGATGGAAAGGGGAAGACGGAATTAAATAATGCAATTCCACCTTTATATCCAAGACTCCACAACTTCACCTCTAATAAATTTCCTCAATTAAATTGACTGTAATAGGAGGCTTTAAACGCTTAGAATTGTGTTAATAAAGAAGTCTAAAGATTAGTTCAAAATGAAATATGATGCGTAGCAAAGATACATGGACGACAGTAGATTGTTATAAATATAATGCCATGTACAATAATTGATATTTTTATGCATTTCCAATATACAACCTTGTTAACATAACCGCACGTTACAATACCTAATTGTACAAAGTATTTGCGATTTCAAAACTACATTATTGCAACGTTATCCGAGAGTAGACACAAACACATCTTTAGATCGTGAAAGTAACTTATTGTTTGGAAGCTTTCTATTTTATTAGCGTATGTGTGATATATTGTACTTTGTTATATATCTTATAATGTATAAATGAGTATTGTTAGAGTTAAAATTAAATTTGTATTAGATCAATTTTGGTTTGAAAACTTTCATGATTAACGGATAAAGAGGTGTTTATTATGTTGATCCCCAGTGCAATTGATTCTGTATACTACATTTGCGTATTATTTTTTATTATTATTATTCTTTTTTTATTATTTTTTATGCAATTTATTTTTATATTATTAGTTTTTTTTTAACTATATTATTGTCGTAGTTTAACATAAATAAAAAGTTGAGACTTTAGTAAAAATGAATTAAAATATCGCGACCTGGGTTTAATAAGGCCACATCTGTAAAATTACCATCTTTTCTGAATAGAGGTTTAAAGATTCTACGAAAGAAATTTGTTATGCTTAAATAGAAATGCTATGGTGGCACTTCATATTTGGCAAACATTTACCAAGTCGTAGATAGCACGTGTGACAAAGTATTTGCCTTGTTTGCCTATTCGACAAACACCGAACTAGAGTTACCCCGCGCTGGTCGGTTTTTCGAAGCACACCAAAGGTGCCAAATAGGCAAACACGCAAGTGGTTTACTTCCATCCACACTATTGTCATATAACCTTACCTATTTCTGTCGCCAAGCAGTAATGTTAGCATTGCTGCGTTCCGGTTTAGAAGGGTAAGGGTGCTGGTGAAATGGGCACGTGGGACTTGAAAACTTATGATCTCAGATCAGATATTTGTGATTTAAAGCTCTGAGAGGCACTACAACTGTTATGGACAGGCGTGCCGCTTACCATCAGGCGCATAACTTGTTCGTCCCGTCACCTGATAAAAAGAATATTATTTTAACTCCTTATTTAGCTCCATATGTAGACGAACACCAACCTCCAACTACATCAAATACCCAATAACGAACACACGTAGCCCTCTGAAGTGCCAACCATTATATAATTTCATATGCATATTGTTTGTTTCATATAGCTTACGTTATTTTATGACTTTAAAGTCATAAAAGCACATTTGAATGATCACACGTGGCTTCTGCCTTACACCCAATCATTTGTTTGTTGAATAATGAAGATAGTTCCCAACTTAATATCCTTTTAAGTAGCAGAACTTACGATATAAGTATTTACCGTCTTATCAATGCCTTATATAAATAAATAAATGAATGAACGATAATCATCGTCCCTAAATGAACGAATGAAATATTTCTTACTACGATATGGCTTTTTGTTCATTTTCCGAAAAGCTTAAACAGATATTTTTTTCTTTGAAGTTTTCAACTGCCGCTTAATACTTAATCCGTGATTGTGGAGCGTGCAATCGCTATGATACACCAGAAGTAGAATAAAAAAAACTACAACTAGACACAATCATTTAGTCGGTAACTACTAAAGTCTTAGAATTCGTGAATGGAATGTGGATTGAAAGTTAAATGTATTGTGATTCTTTAAATTGTCGTTTAAAAGTAAATTATACTATAACTATCATATTTTTCATGTTACATGCAAGCTCGAAATTAAAGTAAATATTCGAAACTGGCTAGAGAACAAAACACTATATAATCCTTAGACAATGTGTCCCATAGTAAAAAACATTTTTACCTTATTGTAGTCAGTATGAGAGACTACACTTAGGTTAAAAATAAGTTTAAGTTCATTTTAACCGTCGATGTAAGTATTTATTATTTCTTTGTCATAATTAAAATTCAGTAGGAATTACTATTTGTAAACGTCCGAGACGACGCGTGTTCGTTGATGTCTTTTATATGAAGAGACCATTAATTCGTCGTAGCACGATAACAATAGGTTACTTGCGCTTATACAGTGAGAGCTTTCGTTGAAGACGATGATAAAGCTTTACGACCCGGATACTTTGAATACTTTCGCTATTTTGCAACCTACAAACCATACATATACAAAGCATTACGTATATCTGTTAATGAGGTAGGACGAGACTACGGCATTCCTATTGCTGTATTATGTTCCGGATTCTTTCGATACTTTGCAACAAAAGTACAATAAGCTCACAAACCATAACGACTCAAATGGAGTGGGTGGAGACTACGGAACTTCAATGACTACCATTATTATGTCTATCAATTCCTACACGAGCTATCGTTTTGAGCACAATCTGTCAAAATAGTTTGCACAATTTATAAATTATTTTTAATATGAAATATTTCTTTGAAAATAAATAAGAATGTTATAACACGTGTGCTTCAGTTTATTACAAAATAGATGTTGCAAATTTTAATTTTCAATAACACGTAATTGATATAAAACTTTATAATAATCTTATGAATAATCATAAATTTAACTTTACGAAAAATATACTATTTTGTAAATAAATCGTACCTATATCATCAATCTTTTTTTAGAATATTAAGTAACGAGACGAATAAGTCATGCGCCTATCCATAACAGTTCCAGTGTCACTCAAAGCTTAAAATCTCATTTTTAAATCGCAAAAATCTGAGGTGCGCCGCCACTGCGCCCGTCACACTGAGACATAAGTTAACAAGTCCCAGGTGCCTGTAATTTCACCAGCACCCTCACGTTTCAAACTAGAACGAATTTGATATTGTTTCTTCCTTCCTAGGAACTGGATCCGACGTTTGACATTAGCACAGGCGAAATTGCGCAACGCGCATTGCGCTCGGCCAGCTCTACGTTTATATACTAAATATTCATGACTGCATTGAAATATAGTTATATTAAAAGATCAATCGTTTTATAAATAGGGCGAATTTTTCAAACTTACATGTAGTATTACAACACTAACTCGCACGGCCACATCTGTAAATGACAACATTTGTGGAGAGAAATTTAAAAATTGTACAAATAAAATTATTCGACAAGTTTTTTATACATAAGAGTTGTAAAAGATCACGTGCTTAATTTAATTCATACAGTTTGTATTATTTTTGATTTTCATATGATAATAGAGACTTTTGACCTATGATCATATGGGGCTTCAATAATAATAATAATAACGCACACACTCAACATAGCCCCGCACTATGGAAACCCTGTGTCGTGGGTGCCGTGGATATACACATAGACAACCACAAATTACTCCCAAGCTCACGAGAGAAACAAATGTAGGCCATACAAATATTACTCCCGGCCCGGGAATCGAACCTAGGACCTCTGCGTGGCAGTCCGGCATGGTAACCATTCGGCCACAGAGGCAGTTAAAATTAAGGTTGTTTTTATTTAAGTTATATTGTTATATTGTTGTTATACTTTTTCCTCTTCTTGGCAGTAAAAGGATTTAGTAGACTGCTATTCAACGAGTATTATGTAAACACAATCTGAGCGAATATATAATCTATCCGGTAAAATTTTTATATCACTGATTTATAGAAAGTTAATTGCGTGTCGATTTATGAATTGATTGATTTAAATACAACCTCGTATTACTCGCATAACTCACAAACGCAGCTATAGTTTTAGGAAATACAATTGTTAACTACATAATATATATAGTTTTTGTAGTAGTCGAACTCCATGTCAAAGGGTTCGTCTAGGGAAGTACTGCCACCCTGCCTATTTCTGCCGCCAAGCAGTAAAGCTTCCCTGAACAAACTCTTTCACATGGAGCTCTACTACTAAAAAAATAAAACTGCTGCTTGAGTTATTAGTTACAATCACATCACAAGAAATGGCCGGTAGACGAATCGTTAACATTACGCAGTAGATACAATTGTTTTTAAACCGTTTTCCAGATGAATTAGGTGATTACAATTTGATTTTGAGGCACACTGTTATTCTATAAAGCCTATTAATATTACTTATAGTGTACAAATACAATTGCATTATTGCCATAATAAGACAATTTATTGCATTTATTATAATAAAAATAAATACAGTCCGCAACCTGCATTGGGCCAATGTAACAGATGACGACACTCTTTTTAGAAGACACCCGTACGCAGAAGTGGGACGTATAAAGACAATGTTAAAGACAACCTCCGTGATCGAGTGTCTGGTACACCGGTTTTCATGTTGTTGCCATCTCTGAGGTCCCGCGTTCGAATCTCGGCCGGGTCAATGTAGAAAGACTAACATTTCTTTAAAGCTCGTGTTTGGGTGTTTATGGTATCGTCGTTGTTTCTGATTTCCATAACACAGTGCTTTAGTTACTTACTTTGGGATCAGATCAGCGTGTGTGATGTTAGCTAATATGTCATCTATTATTTATACTTAGTGTTGATATAAAATCATCTACTTATTTAATTAATTTATTCTGACGTTCCTTTTGCGGAAATCCATGTCATGTGAGATAGCAGCTGAAACTAAAATTATCTGTATCTAAGAACTAATCTAAGAACTAGTCTCCATCTCTTGATTGTAGAAGTACTTTCCTCAAAAGCCTCAAAAGTATTGTTAACTATGATTGTTGGAGAGTAATTAAAAAGTGTCGTAATTTAAATACTTTGCAAGGCCAAATATGTGTGTGTAGAATGAAAGGTCCATACATTACAAAACTAATGGACGTAACTAATGAAAATGAATTATTTACGTCTTGTGAGCTACATTCTTGCGTGCTAAAGGAAATTATTTTTTATTCGATTTACTTAAAATCTTTTGTTTAATGGTCTAATGAATTAAATTCAAAATTCGAATGACACACATTTTTCAAATGTCGCATCGAAGAATCTTCACTTTACTGATATTTCTGGACATAATGTCCAATCATACTAAAAGTAATGACGGAAACTCCCTTTGGTAAATAACAAAATTATCTTTTATTTTAATAGCAATTAAATACAAAGTAGTATTTCAACTTCACAACTGCCGATCTCTAATACTGGTTACATACAACCAGCACGCAGGCATACCATCAGCATTTCAATTGCAGACTGCTAAGTCCTGGTGGCAGTTTAATTGCCTACGTGGCAAAAGGGAACGATTCCTGGGCCAGGAGAAATCATTGTATGCGATTCCTGGGCCAGGAGAAATCATTGTATGGCCTGTATTTATTTCTCTCTTTAGTTAGGATGTAATTTCTGGTTGTCTATGTATGTGTCCACGGCACCTAGTTACAGGACTTCTCTAGTGGAAGGCTATGAGTGTGTACGTTATTTATTATTAATTTAATTTAGTCCACATGCCCGCAATGCAACAGCAAGCGGATGAGAAATGTAATTCTGGAATTGAGATGCCGTCGGAATACATTTAGTGTGAAAACGCCCTAACAATAAATGTAAATATTAAAAAATGTTATCCCCTATTTTCAGATCCTCGAGTACAAGGATGGTTCCTCTTCGACACTCCCCTGCCTACCCTGGCCATGGTAATAGTCTACCTGGCTGTAGTCATGGTCATCGGGCCTATATGGATGGCCAACAGAAAACCTTTCCAAATACAAAATGTCTTAGTTGGATATAACGCTGCACAAGTTCTACTGTCTTCTTATATGTTTTATGAGGTGAGTTTTTCACAGTTTTAATTTAGTTCTATTATATGAATTAACAAATCTGCTATAACACAGTTCCGTAAAATGATAGTTTACGCACGTATGGAAACTTATGATACATTTCGCAGAAAAACGTTCGCCATATTTTACTATCGAGTAAGGTTGTAGCCAAATGTTAACCTTTAATCCTATAAGCTAATAATATACTCCGGTGGCCTAACGGTTTGAACTGTGGGCGCTGTACGTGGAGTTGCCAGGTTCAATTCTCAGAGGTCTGGGAGTGTGTTTGCAATCTGCACTGGGTCGAGCGGTGGCAGGATGCCGCCATAAGTTTGACAAAGCTAGCTATGGGACACCGGAAATATTGCAGCGGTTGTGGAGTTATTAACTATGACCACAAGACCATAGCTCCTTGTGAAAGAGTTCATCCAGGGCAGTACTGATACCTTACCTATTTCTGATGCCAAGCAGTAATGTCAGCATTACTGTGTTCCGGTTTTGTAGGGTTAAGGGTGCTGGTGAAATTTCAGGCACATGGGACTTGTCATCTTATGTCTCAAGGTGAAGGGCGCAGTGGCAGTGTCCTCAGATCTTAGCGATTTAAAGCTCGTGAGTGGCACTGCAACTGTTATGGACAGGTTTGTAGCTACCAACAGGCGCGCGACTTGTTCGTCCCGTCACTTGATATTATAAAAAAAAGATCTTGGTTCCGCAGCTCCTGGTGTAGCAGGTACCAGCGTACTGGTAGGCAGCAATATGAAAACCCCAAGGGTCTGTTGCAAAGCATTCGCGATTATATTTTACCTTCACAAATGACGTATCCGGTTTGACACAGATCACAAACCATTTTCAATACTTGGCAAAAATTGTTCAGTAAATTAAGGGTAGAGGTGTGATGTAAACATAATAGTAAATAGTTATTAGAGGGTATTTTTGTATTTGCTTTGATTCGTCAGACCGTTAATAAACGTTCGACTGCTAAGCTGTGTTTCCTTTGTGTCGATATAAAACACACACAAGAATATCAACATGTTTTTACCAAGCTATTTTATGTATAAATTAACTTCGTAACAACGGATAATAATGGGGCAGATGAGTGATCACGTTTACCTTTGTCGGCTAATAAACAAATGACTCACATGCTTCCGGAACAACCTTATTAACATTTTATTCATATTAGTTTACTGTAATATTAAACAAGACAAAGCGAGATCTGTTGTTATCGAAACTATTGAGTGAGATTAGAAACGAATGTCCTTAAAGTAGTAGTAGGTATGTAGCTATACTTCAATAGGAATCAGAAGTTTATGAAGAAGTAAGATGAGGAGTTAATGGTCCCTGAAAAAATGTAAAAAAAGTACATAAGTGACGTGGAACGCATCTCGGCTGCGTGGTGTACGCGTTGCAGGCTTACGCGTCGTGATGGCATGCGCCGTCCTTGTGTGCAGACAATACCTAGTTCCATAAATGTCAATAATTATAATTTTCTTATAAAAACTGACCTCAAAACTTTGTGGAATTACATCTATTTGCCATTAATTATTGAATCGGAAACAGAAAGTCAGTGAAATCCAATAAACGGGAATCATCGTCCAACTTACCACCCTGTGAGTGGAATATTACTTAATTTAATATTACTCTCATAATCATCAAAATCGGTTCCCAAATATCGAAGTAATCGCATAACATAGACACTAAAAAGAATACAGTCGAATAAAGAACCTCCTCCTGTTTTCAAGTCGGTTGAAACAACAAATCTAACCAAAATAAGCACATCAATCGGAAAAATTTAGAAGAATAGTGTACCGCAATATATCGATTTCAAAATAGGTAAATTTACCGGAAGATAATCACACCATTATAGAGCCTCAAACATGGGATTCCCAATAATAATTACGAATATAGAAGGAACCGTGACTTACGAAAATGCGCAGGCGAGATGATAAATTAATCTAAGTCGTGGTAAATTATCCATACTTCAAAGGACGTACTATACAAATTTCCAATTGGTCATGCATATTTTTTTTATTAAGAGCCACCATTTTTGTTAACATGTTTGATATCGTGTTCTTACACATCAGTAGTTTAATCGCACTTTTTGAGGTATTGTATATTTTTATTTATTTTGAGGACAACCAACGACACATGAATTTAATATAACAAAGTTGAAACAGTACCACAGAGACTTATACCTAATTCTGATTCAATTAATGTTCGCCACGGCATGTAAATATGGACACGACAGAAAAAAAAAACAAGTTGATCCAATGAAATTAAAAGAAAAATAACTTAAAATAAAGCTACTTAAATAATATAAATAGCTACAATTAATGAAATATTATTATTAAAAATGTAACCATTAAAATCAAAATAATCTAAATAAAAATACTTTCAATATATTTAAAGAATTGTATAAATTAAAAATACAAGAGAAAAAAATATATATGTGAAACTACATTGACGCAAACGTGAGAGCAGACTTGATTGTGCGCTTAAATCGCGAAGGAATATTCGAAAAAATGTCGACGAGACAGTCACCCCGCTTGTGCAGGTGCTGCAGGTGGTTATATTGTCTTGGTAGTCGGTTCATGGTGGCGTGGTGACACAGGTTGCTTCTACTACTTTTTGAATATTACCCATCGCAAAATTCCACAGGATTCAAATCCGAGTTTCGTAAGTAAACAAGCTGAGATCTATGTGTCAAGGCAGGCTATTAAGGGTCATTTACCAAGTCATGCATCCATGACACGTAGGTAAAAACTATACCCGGTTAGCACGACATCCCAAGGTTATAGAATTTTTCTTTTGTTGTAAAGTTTAATTATTTTTTAGTCAGAGTAAAATCAATTATATAATGGGGTCAAAAATTTCCCCTTGTTTAGTAGCAGTAGAGCTTCTTGTGAAAGAGTTCATCCAGGGAAGTACTGCCATCTTACCTATTTCTGCCGCCAAGCAGTAATGTGAGCATTACTGCGTTCCGGTTTTGAAGGGTAAGGGTGCTGAATGTATGAGTCTTGTGAAATTACAGACACATGGGACTTTTCAACTTATGGTTATGGGCTCTGCGCTCATTTAGTTTAAATAGCGTGGTAGTTTGCATAACGTCTGACACGGTTTGCTGAAAGACTTTGATTTGAATCCAGCCGGATAATTAGGATTTTTTTTTTAACTATTCTATCTTTGTATTAATAATTATAACAAACTAGTGGAATAATTTCACAAAAATAATGGAAACTGCCTCTGTGGCCCAACAGTTACCACGCCAAACGGCCACGCAGAGGTCCCGGATTCGATTCCCGGGCCCGGAGAAATATTTGTATGACCTACGTTTACGTCTCTCGTAAATTCGAGTGTAATTTGTGGTTGTCTATATATGTGTCCATGGCACCCGTGATACAGGGTTTACCTGGTGCGGGGCTATGAGTGTGTGAGTTATTCTTATCATGGTGGTCAAACACCATGACTTTCAATAATTATATCAACAACCAAGACACCTATCTTTTGCTTAATTTGGTCTAAATAAGTACGCCTTGGTCAGTCCTTAAGAACTTGCTCGCTCGGTCTCACCTTATTTTGTATCGTCAATCATCTTTCACTTAACCATGGTGTCCAAACCATTTAAGCATCTTTTTCTCTGTCTTTTTCACTATATCTTGTATGGTATAGCCTTTCTAAAGACATTGAAGGTTTTAAAAACTATAAATGATGCTTAGTTCAAAAACTAGTCAATCCAAAAGGTTCACTTTCCTTTAAACATACGGAACGCCGTGCGACGTTTCCACTTGACTGACCAACTCACTGTTGTAACTGCTTAGTTAATTTTAACTTAACTGTTCAGTTGGAATACGGTCAAGGTCGATAGATGATTAGGTGTAGAACTGGTTGTATAAAATTGTTAATTAATCATTTAGATATTTTGTAATTTGCGTAATTTACTATCATACACGTATGACGATTGAAGGAATTTGAAAGGAAATGTAGTAAAAAAAGTAAAAAAAGGGAAGTTTATTATTATCAAGTTATTTATGGTCACACTGTCACTGTCATTTAAAATAAACAAAATTATACTAAAAAACTAACCTCAAGTGTAGGTGGAATTACATCTATTTGCCAAGTTTGATTGAAATCGGTTACCGGAATGAGCACCCGAAACCAGATTCATCCCCTAGTTTGCTACCCTTAGAGGTGGAATATTTTCTTCAAATTTAAATGAGACTACTATAGAAGTACCCTCATTCCAAAAAGAAGGAATCATCGAAATCGGTTCACAAATCGAGTAACGTACATAGAAAAAAAAGCACAGAAGAAGAGGCCCGGTTCGATTCCCGATAGAACCAATTTAGAAATTATCTTTTCTAAATTGGTTTGGTGGTGGTTATCTATAAGATAATGATAAAGATAATTGCATGTTCAGCTTATATGTCAAAATTTACTAAAGTATCTGACTCGTTCCTTTGTTTGCAGCACCTAATGTCTGGCTGGTGGGGAGACTACAGCCTCAGCTGCCAACCTGTAGACTACAGCGATAGCGAAAAAGCGAGAAGAGTGAGTATTTTAATTTTTCTGATGTATCTAGAGGTGGAATCATACCGATACCTCCAAAAAACACCACCAATTTTATTGTTTCGTTTTTTCTGTTATTTTTGTAAACAGGCATATTTATTTACTAATATTATGCTCACCGCATTTTAAGAAAAAAAGCAAAGAAACAAAAAACAAAATTCGAAAAAAATACAAAAAAACGAATTTTGTAAAAAAAATAAAGAAACAAAAAATAAAATAAAAACACAACAGGTCCAAAAATTAAATTAGCGTAGTGTCCATTGGATTATCGACAATTTTTGAGTTGGTGAAATGCTTCAGCGTACGGGAGATGAGTGTGCTCTCCTCCGCTGCTAAAGCGAAAATTTCGCTGTTGACGTTAGACCCACTATTATAGCGATAGCAACTGCTAGTTGTGCAATGCACAATGGGAGGTGAGCGAGTCAACAGCTCCGGTATCTATCTAGATAATAGGGAGGGTGCTGTTCGAGCACCAGGGGATGCTCACTAGCCTCTTGAGAACCGGGTGAAGTCTGAGGTCAGGACCTGACAGCTAAGGTCCCTGTGCAGGCTCACTTGTGCAGGTAATAAAGCCCTTTCCGTTTAACAAAGGTTGTAGCGAGGGGTGATCTTTACAAAACTTAAATAGTAACATGTGGAATTGTAGCTCGTGTGACCGCACACTTGAGACGAGTTCACGTCAGATGTAAAATAAGACGCTATCTGTAAGCGCTTCTTTGATTCCCCTTACATTTTCCACCTTTCAATTGCACACCATATGGTGTTTTAAACGTCGTATTGACTCATGCGTATAGTATGAATAAATATGAAACAAACATGTTCACCGCAATCAGACAATAAAATGCATTATATTCTATTCTATTGAACGCAACTTTCAAAACAATTTCAAACATCCAAACATTACAACTGGTGATGTAATAGCGTTTGACCTTTTTTTAATGTAATAATAGACGATAACGTGACCACTATCTCATTTAAATAAATGAATATAAATAAATATGAGACAACATTACACACTACAAACACCCGGGACATTATAGAAAAGTTAGTTTTCTCCATTGACCCGGCCGGAGTATGAACTCGATACCTCATAGATGGCGACTATTCGAAAACCTTTCGTTCAGAGAGGTCGTCTAATCCCATGATGTTAAGCACGCGTTGGTTTAGAAAATATCTATTCAATCTAATCTTGAATAGGCTAAATTCTAACTTTCAGAAAACACATTTAAATGTCCCGGCAGTGTTTGTATTTCGAGGTGAACTATAAGCGAAACTTTCGAAATTTTACAAAAAAAAAAAATAACAATGGCAGACTTTTGTATGGTATTTTTAATTGATGTACATAATCACTCAAAAAAAAATCCATCATGACAATATTTTTTTCTGAGTGAAGTTACAATTTTACACTTAAAAAAAATATTGACGTCAATTATTAACGCTGCTACAAAATAAAGACGCAAAAGAAACGTGACACATTCAACGCCTCTTAAAAAAACTATTTGTTGTGCCCCAGTGCATAGAAAGTAAACTGCGATGATCATAGATTATATATACCATCACCGCTTAAGCAATCTTAAACAAATTTCGGTTTCGTTACGTTTATTTTGATTCTATTTGCTGGTAGAAAAATATGAAGATTTTACATCTGACACAACAGAGGTATCGATATATTGTCACGATACCCCAAGTTGCATCTCTACAAAAATTGTATTCCATTAACGAAAAGTATTAAGGGTAGAAACGGATTTTTTTTTCATTTTCTTCTTACAATGACTTTCAAAAGCGAGAAACAAGATAAAGTATACCACAAATGTTCTAGGTGTTTACTTACCAGTATCACGTCTACGCTTTTACTCTTTGCTTATCCGGTCAAGTTCATTCAACGACACTGGCTTCGCGGCATACTTCGCGACTTTCCAACGACGTTTTGTTTGGGCAGCCCAAAGTGAAATGACAAGTGCCACAGATAATAGGATGAGGTGTGGTCACTGGTTACTGTGACAAAAAACATCTCGGCCTTTTTAAAATTGAAACGTTTGGCTGTGGCTGAATCCATAACGCACACGCCTGTAACTATCACACACTGATGCGCAATAAGTACGCCATACACGAGCACTTTGAGCTTAAGTGAGTTGTTAACAACTTCAAAACCTATAACAAACTATGAGAAAGTGTGAATTTTTTCAAGGCAGATTATAAAAGAATTTATGGCTGCCGGATATACTACATAATATGCCTAATTTCCTTTCTGTTACGTATTTTTATTACTTATACAGAAGTCTCCCTATTTGTCTTCCTGTTGTTAGTTTTTTGTCATACATAACATCTTTCTTTTTATTGAAGATGTCAATTTAAGAATAGGCGTCTTCTTATGCAACTCCATCGGCGCAAAAATTAAAAGCTGGCTACTATAATGTATAAATTTGAACTTTAAAAATAATTTATTTGACAATTCTGTTTACTCAATTTGTAACCACGAAATTATATCCTACAGAGACGCCGAGACCGGACATATAAATTGAGCATGTCTACGGCAGAAAAGCAACAAAGTAATTAGCAACTGTTATTAGTAGCAGTAGAGCACTTTGTCAAAGATTTTGTCCAGAGAAGTACTGCCACCATACCAATTACCGTCATCGTCGCAAAGCAGTAATATCAGCATTACCGCGTTCCTTTTTTTACGGGTGCTGGTGAAACCCGTCACTTAGTAACTTTAAAACATCTGTTGGAGTAAATAATCTCTCTCTCAGATTTTCTTTTGCCACAATCATTGTAGGTACAAATTTATTCACACATTATTTACTCTCTCAGTCCTCTTATGAACTTCTAAACTTGGACAATACTCACACATCACGTTAATGACATATCAAAATACTTTAAAGTTTCTCAAAAATTCTAGTACAAATTTTTATATCCGCATTACAATCTTTCAAAAAACTTCAAACAAAAATGAAACTAGTGTTAATTTTATTACATTCTAAACTTTCCCATTCGCGGGTTACGTTCGGTTTTTTTTTTGTTATTTATGTGTACAAACACGCACAATATAGCTGCCGAATTACCGTCTTAGCTCATGCCCACATAAAGCTTTCGCTTGCAGGTATTGCAGCAAAAACACCTTGACTGAACGGAACCTTGAAAATTCCAAAAACATAATTATCTGAAACTCAACAAACCTTATGACCTCACAAAAATATACAGAATGTTAAACGCTTATCTTTGCCACTTCCGTTGTTCTTTGTGCTAAAAAGAACTTCTTGGAACAAAATGATCTTTAAGGTTAATATTCTCAGCTAAAACACGTAAAACGCCAATATTTAAAACGTGAATTAACACATCAGGGTATTAGAAATAAATGCTAATACTTAGTTACACTTTACAAGGCACTATACAAAGAAGTAAAGTATGTCTTCGCCGCAGTCTCCTCTATAGAAATGTCCTTTAGGGTCTAGTGAGCCGACATTTGCACTCACCTGGGCGCCCTCAACGTCTTTCTTCTTTAAATTAATATACGGGTTAAAATCTATACAACCTCAAATGGCTTCGATAGATTCCGCATAACAATGCAGTGTTGAATCAATCACTTTGGGAAAAATATATAGTAAAATTGTGGATACTGATAATAATACGATAAAATTTTCACGATAGAAAAATAACACAAACTTACCTCGAAACTTTACAAGAAAACCGCTGTAAGTACTTTACATGTGCTAATGATTTATATATTTTTCAAATGGCTTTAATTTCGTTTGTAACCGCTCACGCGATACATGCAGCCGTAGACGCATACCACACCTAGAGGTGCCGGTGATGATTTTATACCGATTTATCGGATATCGAAGTTATAACAGATAAAAGAACTAATATTAATTGCTATTTCGGTAACTACTCTAGCAAATTATAAAGTTTTTAATGCCTGGGTCTGTCATTTAAAAAATAAACAACTTCAAAAATACGTCACGACAATCATGTGTGTTATTGTTTGGGCTGGTGATTTCGGTGTTTATTTATTGAAAACATACCGTAAGTAGCGTTTTTTAAGTTTACCCTGAATACAAATGTTTATAAACTATACTTTAAGGAGTAATTTCATGGTAAACATTCGAACCACTCAAACGGAATATTATCATATTTATCCAAGTACACCAAAAATTTTATTAGTGCTTTTTAAGCGCAGGATTTGCGGTGTATTACTGCATTTTATTTGAGACGTTTTTGTTGGTAATGCGGAGGGTATTTATTTAGCAATGCAGAATAATAATTTTTATTTATAATAACTTGTATTTAAACTGAATGCTTTTCTATTTTGCGAAACCAAATAGCCGCCATTTTGGGGTAGGAGGAGCGCGTCGCGTGAGCGGCTATAGAAAGTAATTCTGAAATAAAGCACTCGACCCAAGCAAAATGAACCGTATTAGTACGGGAAAAATTAGAATTTGAGCAGAGGCAGTATCGACACTTAGCTCAGTTCGGTATTTTTTTTTTTGTAGCGCAATCATGTCATCAGCGGTCAACTTCAAATTAACTTCAAAAAATCCCCACCGTATACTAAATAAATAACTATGCTGTAATTTATTGGCAATATCTAAAACCATCGTCATCGGCAAATATATGTGAATTTGTGCAACAAAAATTTACGTATTTAACACGCTATTAGTTATTGGAACTACTAATTAGTAACTTACCGTGATTAAGAGTGCTGATGTTTTGTTGTGTGTAATGTCCCTAACAATTTCGACTAATATATAGTATATACTCAAAACGACGATACTTTCGCTGTGTCCTAATCAGAAAAGTAAATCATCACCGTTTAGAAAATGTTAACAAATTAATAATAATAACTTATTCATTTGATTAAAACGTGGTACTAAAGAACAATGCTAATACACACATGTTTCGTATATATTAAACATCTAAATATATCAAGTTAATTGACTTGTACAAGATTAGAACACCGCAAGATACGATTTTACAAATTGTTT